GTAAGCAATATGAGAATCTTAGCATGAAGCGTAAGGAAAAGGTACCTGACTACATCTCTAGAGTGATTCTAATCACAAATGAGATGAAGTTGTGTGGAGAAACTCTTAGTGAAGTAAAGATTATTGAGAAGGTACTTAGATCTCTTACTTCTCAGTTTTATTACATTGTGGTAGTAAATAAACACTCTAAAGATCTTAGCACCATGAGAATTGAAGAGCTGCAAAGAAGTTTAGAGGTACAAGAGTTGCATCTGACTAAGAGAAAATCTAAAAGAGATGTAGAGCAGGCTCTGAAAGCTCCTTTTGTCAACAAGGACCAGAAAAAGTCTTGGTTATAGACCAAGAAAAGACATGGTAGGTAAAAGTAAAAAACCTCAATTTCTGGAAGGAAAAAGAGTGCTCAGAAGGAGAATGAGAAGTATGACAAGAGAAAGGTTCAGTGCTAATGTTGTAAGAAGTTTAGCACTTTGCTACTGACTGTTTGTCAAACAAAGAAAGGAAGTAAGAAGAAGAAAATGTAGCCAGAAGAGATTCTGATGATGAATTTGTGCTATTGATGGTTTTTGAATCTAATGATGTGTATTTGACAGACTGGTGGTATATGCACACTAGCTGCTCAAATCATCTTACTGGAAATAAGAAATGGTTGGTTTATTTTGACTATAGAAAGAGGACAAATATCATATGTGTCGATGATAAATACCTCAATGTTGAAGGTATGGATAATGTCAGAGTAGTTCTAAATAATAGTAAAATAACATTGGTTCAGAATATGTGATATGTGCCTTTCATGAAGAGCAATCTGATGGGTGTAAGTCAATTAATTGAGAAAATTTTTTCAGTTACCATGAAGGACAATCATTTGAAGTTGTATGACTGTAATCAGAAGCTGATTATGAAGTCAAAATATGGGAAGAATAGAACATTCAAAGTGAATGTTAAAACTGCAAACTCTGAATGCCTGACTGCAACAAGTGTTGTGAAGGAAAGTGAGTTGTGGCACGAAAGATTTGGTCATTTGAACTTCATAAGATTAAGGTATCTGAATTTGAAGAATTTGGTACATAGAATTCTTGCAATTAAGAAGCCAGAGAAGTCATGCAATGTGTGCATGAAAGAGAAGCAACCAAGACTGCCATTTGCATCTGAAATGCCTCCAAGAGCAAAGCATGCTTTGGGCGTGGTGCATTTTGATGTGTGTGGTCCATTTCTAGTACCTTCACTTGAAGGGAATAAATACTTCATGTCATTTGCAGATGAGTTCAAAAGGATGACATGGGTATCTCTTATAAATTTCAAACACGAGGTGTTTGCTGAATTTAAGAAATTCAGAATCAAGGCTGAGAATCATAGTGGCCAGACTCTGAAGATTCTCAAAAATGATGGTGGAAGTGAGTATAATTCTACAGAGTTTAGAAAGTTCTATGAGGAGAACAGAATTGAGCATAAGGTGATTGTTCCATACACTTCTCAAAATATTGGTCTTGCTGAAAGAAGAAACCAAACCTTGCTTGATATGACAAGGAGCATGCTGAAGGAGAATAAGCTCCCTCATACATTATGGGGAGAAGTTGTTGCCACTGCATCATATATGCTCAACAGGTGTCCAACAAAGAAGATGAATTACATTGTTCCTTTATAAAAATGAACTGGAGATAAGCGAAGTGTGATCCATCTAAAGGTGTTTGGTTAGGTGAGTTACAACAGGTGAGCTCCATATGCTAAAAGAAGGAAGTTAGATGGAAGAAGTAGAGTTATGTTGCTTTTAGGGTACCATAGTACATGCACTTATAAGCTTTACTGTCATGTCACTAATAAGGTTAAATTCAGTAGAGACGTCATTGTGAAAGAGTCAAAAGTGTGGGATTGGAATAAAATCCAATCCAACTCTGGTGCGGTGTTAACACCTCAGTTAACTTCTAAAAATACTTCTGAATCTGAAGGTTCTGAATATAAGTCAGAATAAGAAGCTAATTCTGAAGGTGAGTATGAAGATGAGCCAGAGTTTGAAGGTGATTCATAACATGGTGGTGATTCATGCCTCTGAAGGTGGTACTTCTGGGGTTCTAGTATCTGATACTCTTCTGGAACCCGTAGACGATTTTGAACAAGTTCAGAGGCCATAAATAATCAGAAACATACCAAGGATATTTGCGAAGTTTGACATGTTGCAAGATACTGAAGTAGACTCTAAAGGAGAAGTTATCCAATGTGCCATGTTAGTAGACTTTGAACCAGTCATTGTTGAAGAAGTACTCAAGAAGAAAGTGTGACTGAAGGCCATGAAATAAGAACTTAAGGCTATAAAAAGAAACAAGACTTGGAAGTTGATTGAACCTCCAAAAGACAAGAAAGCCATCAACGCCAAATGGATTTTCAAGGAGAAACTGAATCCAGATGGATCAATTGGAAAACACAAAGCAAGGTTAGTAGCAAGAGGATTTCTACATAAACATGGGTTATATTATTTTGAATTGTTTATAGCAAGACATGAGACAATCAGACTGGTGATTGCAATAGTTGCTATCAATAATTAGCCTCTGATGCATTTAGATGTGAAATTCGCATTTCTAAATGGTCCATTGCAAAAAGAGGTATACGTGTCACAACCTCCTGGGTTTGTGACAAAGAATCAAGAAGGAGTGGTGTACAACTTACATAAAGCATTGTATAGACTGAAACAAGCTCCTATAGCTTGAAATCTGAAAGTTGATTCATTTTTCAAGCATCGAGGATTCAGAAAGTGTGAGATGGATTATGGCATTTATATTCAACATACTTCTGAAGGCAATATGATTATGATGTGTCTTTATGTTGATAACATATTGCTAACAGGGAGTTGTGAACATGAGATAGCTAAGTTCAAGAAGGTGTTGATGAATGAGTTTGAGATGATTGATCTAGAAAATATGACATATTTTATAGAGATGAAGTTTATGTACTATGTGAAGGGTATCATTTTGCATCAGCAAAATTATGAACTTGAGCTTCTGAAGAGATTCAAGCTGCTGAATTGTAAGGCTGCTGTCACACTGTCATAAACAAATCACAAATTGTATTTTGATACTGAAGGTGATGATGTTGATGCTATAACTTTCAAGTCGTTGGTTGGTTCTCTGAGGTATTTGTGCAATACCAGACCTGACATTTGTTATGCAGTTGGAATGGTTAATAGGTTCATGATGAATAAACTGAAGTGGTCTCATTACCAAGTTGCTGTCAAGATTCTAAGGTATATTAAGGCGAATCTGAAGTATGGAGTTTTGTTCCCTTCTGGAGAAAAGTCTAATTCAAAGTTGATGTGCTATTCAGACTCTGATTGGTGTGGAGACAAAGTTGACATAATAAGTACTTTTGAATATTTGTTTAATTATCTGGGAGGTCCTATTTCTTGATGTTCTAAGAAGCAACCTGTTTTTGCTTTGTCAACCTGTGAAGCTGAATATATTACAGGTGATGTCGTTGCATGTCAAGCTGTTTGGCTTTGAAATTTACTACAAGATCTGAAGATCAAGGTAAACAAGCCTCTGAAGCTAATGATTGATAACAAGTTTGCAATGAATCTTGTTAAGAACCCAGTGCTACATGAGAGAAGCAAATATATCGAGACGAAGTATCATTTTATGAGAAGTCAAGTCAAGATAGAGTGTTATAAGTTATGCACTGTAGCACACATAAGCAGTTGGTAGATGTTCTGACGAAGGCGATCAAGACTGGTCAATTTCTCCACTTGAGGGATGGAATTGGTGTTGTTAGTTTTGATTAGTTAACTCCTAAATTTAGGGATGGTGTTGAAGGGTAATTCAGTATTTTAATCTTTAGCCTACTCACACTTTTGTTTGTGTATATAAGTAGTAGTGTGCTTAGCAACTAAGTAATGCAATAGGAATTCATTGAGTATTATAGTACAGTGTATGTGTGTGTGTGTGTGTGTGTGAAACTATTTTGTTGTAACCGTTTTAGTAGAGTAGTGGAAGTTTGTTAGAATTTGTTATTCTCTTTCTTCTCTCTCTTCTTCCATCTTCATCTTTTTCACCTTGTACACCAACAGTGAAGAGTTACACATGGCAACTCATTATTTTGGAAACAGTTTTATGTTAAATTGAAGTGAGACTAAAAGTCTAAGTTTGCAATGTTTTATTATTTGATTAATATTGAATATCGCCACAATGCTACCCTAAGTGAATATGAGTGTGCAATGACATGTGTTGTATGAACGTGAATATTTTTCCGCTGCGTGTTTATTAAATATCGGTGTTGTTAAAGGATTGTCGTTTGTGACACCTTAAGTTGTTGAGTAAAGCTTAATATATAAGTTTCGGGGTATAAATTGTATATATTTTTCCTTAGTTTTTTTATAAAACCGATGGAATAAATTGTATATATTTTTTAAATAGAATATGCTCTCATGATATATCTCCTCAATTTTTAAATGTTCGAGGTGAAACATTCATTGTAAAATGTCTTATTTGTAATAGTAAATTTAAGTATTTAAGGAGTAAATTCCAAACTCCCGACCTCTCAAAAAAAACTTACATTGTCCAAACCACTCATGCATAAAAGAAATTGTTATTTTTTTTATAATAAAAATATACTTTAAAAAATTACATATATATATATATATATATATATATATATATATATATATATATATATATATATATATATATATATATATATATATATATATATATATATATATATATATATATATATATATATATATATATATATATATATATATATATATATATATATATATATATATATATATATATATATATATATATATATATATATATATAATTTAATTAAATATTCTCCTTGGCTCCACATGTTCTAAGTGCATTGTAGATGAAGAAGTAAGAGAATCTTTGTGCTTTTCATTTCTATAAAAGGGAATGTTGTTCTCTCCTCTCTTAAAAGCAAGAAACTAACATCAATCAATACACACACGTAGCTTAGAAACATATTATCTCCTGCTCCAACCTTTAGCATCAATGGCACCTCCTTCATCAGACTTAAGAAAGATTGGCTTAGAAGGTTTTGATTTAATAGAAAAATTCTATGGTCCAACAAGAAGGAGCAACATGGAAGACCTTGCTTCTGGAGCAACCAAAGATTCAACGATTCACTTTGTTGGGATATCGAATGTAAGTTACCCTAAGGGAAAGTTACCTCTAAATCGTTGGGGTAGGCCTATTAAATTTTAATCACTTATTTGCCTAAAGTTTTAAGTGGCTCTTTGTTTTATTATGTTATGTAGAAAAAAGCTCGAAGGCATGTGATTATATTTGAATCAAAGTCTTCTGTAGCTAAGAGAGGGTACAAATTAAATAAAGTACTATGTAATTTGAGTACCCAAAATTATGTAGTCTCTATAGTTTGTGTTTTATTAATATGTTCCACTAGTTTGTGTTGAAGACGTTGATGGAATTATCATCTATATATACATGGTTTCCTATGCAGTTATATTGTGAAACAAGATAAGATCATTAGATATTTCAGTTGTGACGATGATATTGTTTAAATTATTATAAGCAAATATTGCATTAATTTCTGGGACATGATACATCAAATATACAAGTTTGAAATTGGGTCAATAAAGTTTACAATACAATTTCTTGACTAAAACATAATCCAACAAGTCCTTCAGCACAAGAGAAAATACAATTCAACGAGTTTTTCAGTGTCAAATTTTCAACTACGAATTCAACATGAGTATGTGTTTATCCGAAAAATAATAGAATAATGTGAAATGATATATTAATCATTCTTAAGACCTGTTTGTTTTTTTTATAAAAATGATTTTTATAATCTAACATAATTTTGTGTAAAAAAATTTTATAAAGAAACTTTCAAATAAAGTTTTAATTAAAAATTTGTTTTGAGTAGTTATTCTTAAAATATATTTTAAATGTTTTATTATTTTATTGAATTTTTTTTTTATATCAAAATTTTATTAAAGTCATTTAATTTTGAAGTTATTTCAAATAGATTTTTATAAAAATTATTTTTGAGATACAATTTTTTTAAAAAAATTATGATTTTGACTATTTTGATCTTCAATAATGTATGTTTATGTTATAAGATGTTAAAATTAATCTTTTATTTTTAAAAAAATAAGTATAAAAAAATTTGTAATATTTTGAAAAATAATTTTATAAAATTTATTTTTAAAAATACAAAAAAAAAATCATTTTCTTAAAGCTGAAACAAACATACCCTTAACTATACTATTGAATCTCTCATCATACTTATTGTAAGGTACAATTTGCATACTCCACCCAGTAACTCACATATCCAAACCCCACTACTAGGATACTCACTTATCCTAAGGTCTATAGAGATGTAGTAACACTACATAAATTATGATTCACTTACATGGTGTCTAACCTTAATTATGATTTACTGTCCTTTTTTTATTTTCTCTCTTTTCTCCTCTTTATTTTTCACCAAAGTTAGTTTAGTGTTTGTGAGTCCAAAATACTTCAGAGTTTTTTATTGTACTAGTGTTTGTGATTAAGGGTTTTTTATCAAGAGTGTGATTCTGTTTTCTAATATCTTTACTTCTTGAAATTGTCCTAGTAAAATTTTAGATTGATTAGTAAGATTTTATAGTTAAATCTTTGTTTGTTTCTTGAGATTAGCCGTCAAAAGCTCTGTTCGATTCGGGAATCAACATGTATAAAATCTCTCATTTGTTGTAATATAGTTTATGGGCATATCCATAAAAGCTCAAGACATTATTTTAGTGGATGTCTTAATAATCAATTCTTGAGGGCAAGAGCAAACCAAGTGATTTGGCCGAACCTCTATAAATTCTAGTATAATATATTTATCTCTATCTCTTTTATTTATGTCAATTTATTTTTCTATTTGACTATTTCATCTTATTTTCCGTTGCTTTATTTTTACACTAACATAAATTATTTTCAAAGTAAAACAATTTTCAAATTAATCGTGATTTCAACACCTCACAATTCACCTGATATGACACTTTTAGTTTTAAAATACTAATATGATATGGTTGAATGATAAAATTTTATTGAATGATGGTGTAAAACTATTTTACACCGACAGTGCACAAATTTTGATCTTAAAAATTAAATATATTAAAATTAAAAATTGAGTACTACGAAAAACATATACAACAACGGTTAAAAAAGGGATATCATCACGTGTGACCAGCTGTTGTTACGTAGCGTGTGGTTGTATATGTGCTACTTACAATCACGATCGTATGGTCGTGATTGAAAATTCGAAAGCGCGCGACATATCATCACGGTTGCTTTAACTAACCGTTGTAATATATTAAAAGTCTCAGGTTCGATTATCAGCATCACATTTTTGGTATATATATTCTTCTGTACAGTGTTCACTGTACAACCACAGTTATATTTAACAACCGCTGTTAAATTATCTGCTTTTTAAAAAAATATATTTCTGTTTTTTGAAATTTTTTTATTTTTTAACCTGTATTTTTTTGAACCATATCAGAACAGAAAAAACAATTGTATCATGTAACAAGAGAATTATTTACTTCATCAATTTCAAAAAATATTATTTTCACCATCAAACTCAAATGTGCGTGTGTGTGTGTGTGTTGTGTGTGTGTGTGTGTGTGTGTGTGTGTGTGTGTGTGTGTGTGTGTGTGTGTGTGTGTGTGTGTCTATATATTACAAATTAAACTCATGTTTGAGAATCCATAAGCACATTGAAGATATGCCCAACATTTACGAATGTCTACAAAGTCTTCGCAAGGGAATGGTGTATCGTTGTTAAACATCTACATAAAAAAGTGCAAAAATGTGAATATCACACATATATGATAATCATAGCCAGCTTAAACAATAATATGTTATTGTAAACAATTCATTACATATATAATATATATGTGGTCCCATGAATCAACAATGTCGCCGAAAACAATGTTTAACATGTGTTCCATTACATAACACCCACACTCGTATCCATTTAGTTGTTTTCTCGTCTACAAAAATAAAAATTAATTTCATGAATGTTATAACCACACATGCATGTGACAACATATATAAATGAATGTCACAAGTAATATGGTCACTTACATTAGACAAGATAAATGTTAGCTTTTTTCTACTATTGTTCAAGATATAATGTCGTTGCACAACACTGTACATTGAAAATGATTTAAACATATTATGCGTTAAACCAATTAGAAATTCAAATAAAATATTACTAAAAAGTTTCATATAAACATAAACTTAGTTATTAATAATTTGCTTCATTTTAGTTTCGAGTGGTTTATGTAAAGAACATAATGTCGTTATTGTATTCGTCTTAAGCGATATGATGATCAATTGCCAATGATCACTGAATAAACACGAGCATATATATGATTAGTATTTTCTAAATTAAAACTAACTATAACAGACAAACCACAATTTCAAAATTATTTACAACTTGAGAAATGGTGTTAAGTAACATTCTTTTCCCCCATTGACTTAATCGTTTTGAATATTAAAAGCCAATCCCTTTTGGATCATTATTTGATCATTGAATACTATACGATCCAAGATGCCATAAATATTCAATGTATTTAACTCTATACAAACATTATGAATGTACCTAAATAGTTAAAAAAAACTTCAAAAAATAAGTGAGGAAATACAAAAATGATAAGGTACCATATATAATGACATACATATTCAATTATATACTTTCGTGCACTAAACTTGCAATCTCCCTATGTCCAGGCAATCATTTGCAAGGAGAAAATCTCGTATGTCATTAGGAGTAGAATAGAAGAGCTCTACCGTTGGACAATACCCTGGCTGAAGAGAAATCGGGTCTTCACTTTCCGCAATCAACAGGTATAACGTGGTGATTTCATGTGCGAGAGGATCCAATATCTCATTGACCTCTTGAGCGGGGCGCGGCTGAACAATTACATCCTTTGGTGCTATTACCACTTACAACATTTGTTTGGGGAACTTGATCATCAACATTATCATTATTTTTATTCGTACGTTGTTGGAGGGATCCATTTATTCTCTGCAACATAATATTCATTTTGAACACAATACATAATAAACACATTTCTATCTTTTCTAACATTTCAGATAAAACACAATATATCATACATTTCATATAAAATAATAGCATTTCAGATAAAACACATACCACATATAACTCTTCTAACTTTTCCATGTATTTCCTCTGATGTTCCGGCTCCACTTCTAACATCTTCCTCTGTTCTTCTAACTTCTTCTCAACACCCGCAATCTTTTCTTTTTGCGGTTGTAATTTGGTGTTTTCAGCGCTTTTTTTGGTTGAACTAAAGAATACACTACTACAAAAAACACATATCACAACGGTTGGAAAAAGGATATCACCACGCGGGTCCAACTGTTGTGAGCTAAGGTGTGATTGTATGTATGATGATTTTCACCACGATCGTGCAACCGTGATTGTATTCATATAGTGCACTACCTACCACAACTTTTGTGATATTATTTAATGCAACATATTTAATCATGGTTGTTCTAAACAACCATGATTAAATATAGACATGAGTTTATTAAAAATTATATGGAATGCTTATTTCGTCAATGCTCACTAAACATATAACCTTCCAATCTGCACTAGAACATTATAATATGACAAATTGAGTTATATTATAAGAATAAGTTCACGTTCAATGCTTAACAAGTGATCTTCAACACCTTATTTGTATTTTGTTCTTTGATAGTAAGAACTTGGTTTAATGATTCTAGTTCTTCAACCACTCCTGTCTTCACATCTAATTGTTTTTGTAAAATATTATTTACTTTGCAAACAAAATTAGAGGTGGGGAGATAGGTGGTTGAAGATCTATGATCATTAAACCAAGTTATAATGGTCAAAGAACAACATGTAGTTAACAGTGTGAAGAATTCTTATCAAGAATGGAACGTGTACTTATTTTCTTATATAATTTTATCTATCATATCATAATTTTCTAATATAGTTTAGAAAGTTATATATTTGGTAAGGGATTGAAAAAATACTCAAACCACATAATATATAATAAACTCATATTTTAAAACAAACATTAACAATAACATTCATCACAAACATTCATCAACAACAAACCATAAACAACAAAAACGATACAACAAACATATCAAGTCATACAATGCTTCAGAAACATATCATACATGTCCCATAAAGGCGTGTTGCCAATGAAATAAGG